TGGCCGCTCCAAAAACGAGCTTGAGGGAGTTGCACTTTCCGAAGCTAATTAGCGGAAGATGGGTAAGATTGGGTAAATGAAACCTACGGCAATGGAGCAGCCCTTCAAGGAGGATCTGGCCGCCAGACCAGCCAAGGCGGGGATGGTAGACACGTTGATGCCGTTGTCAATAAGAGCCTCCGTCACATTGAAGTCAGCCGGCTCGAAGACATCCTGAGTTGATGCTCCAGCTGCCACCGCAAGAGCGCAAACGCATAGTTGATGGAAAAGCTTCATGACCGCTGAAGTAAATTGCCGCGCACCCAAGGGATTAAGATCGGAACTTCTGCGGCCTATATGTGAAGGGACAGGCCATCGATCGCAGGAGACAAGCCTTTTGTAGTCGTATCCAAACCCGCGGAGCCCCCAGGGCGAGTAATGAGACGGCTCTTACGGGTCTAGAAACGCCGTTGCGCGTTTTCTATGCGATGTACAGCGCGTGTTAGTGAGATCATATAAACTGTCCAATCGCGAGGGTTCAGATCGTTACTTCTGCAGGTGACGGGCGGCAGTCCGCGAACCGATATGCCCACAGTATGCAAGTCGCACATATTGCCTCGCGGAAGTAAGGAGCAAGCACAGTCCCTGCAGGATCCTGTACCTGGATGATGCGACTTAAATGCCTGGCTAACTTTGAAGGGATTGCACTTTTGATCTTGGGCACTGAGCCCCTCTTCTTCGAGAGATGTCTTGTCGAGCGGTTGAAACGATAGGTACGCATCTAAAGTGCATCTCTTCCGCCCATTGTCGGATCCAAGACAGTTAGTTGACGCATTCTGTAAGGGAGGCAAGCAATCGAACTGCAAATGTTGATGCAAAGAGAGATGGAAATCGGGTTGGGACGGCTCGGTTCCGTGCTCCGCCACTAGCGCGGCTTGGCGTTGCGGCACGGTCTGCGGGTGAACCTACCTATCGGTCCTCCACGAATCCTTCAATCCATCGTCCATCACCACAAGTTTCTTGTCCGTACTCTGGATTCGATCCTTTCGCTACGCTCGCACCTATATGATTACAACTAGCGTTTATCAGGCAGGTGCAGCTTCCAGCTCTTGTCCCGGGCGGTAAGCTCGTGGCAAGCCTCATTAGCCACTCGATGGCCTGTCAACGCCGACAAGTTTCCCCTGACATCTGGAGTTGGTCAGGGCAGGCAGATAGGCTCCCAGACGTCCACCGACTAACACACGCACTCTGAATGTTGCTTATCGATTCGGAAATTGAATAATGCGTGCGACACGTCGCTCGGAGAGTATCTGGGACGGGCATCTCGCATCAGACTTTTGCTACGCTAAGAGCATGGATCCATCAAACACGGCGCGGCGACACGCAATGAGAGTTCCTTCAGCTGTGCCTCTTCCTTCTCATTGTTGCAATCAAAGTTGCCGCGACATGAGACTGCAATCCATACACCAGGATTCTGGCACGTTGAGATCCACTGTACCGCTGACGCGGTCAAGAAGGATGACGGACGACTCTTATACCTGATGCTGGGTGCACTGTTTGTAGCAATAGACCCCATTGTCTACCCTGGGCGTCCTTTCCTTGCCAGTACGTTGCCCCTCCAGTTGGCACTACTCTTTCATTCTTCAGAGTCACTGTTATGACTGTCTCTACTCACGAATCCAATGACGGAGGCTCGAGCGCATCGTTTCCACAGACAACGGTGCGGGTAGTTGGCTATGTATCCATCTCCATAGTGTCAGTGGCTATAATAGCCCGATGCTTGCTGCAGTATCTGCGACCGAGAAGAATAACTGCACAAGACTGCTGCATGGCTTTTGCGTACGTTCTTTTTCTTGCGCAATGCATACTCTACATTGTCCTGTCGCCCATACGGGGTAAAGTGCAGGAGGTAACGGAAGGCAAGATGCCACGCTACCCTGAGCTTCCTTATCATGTCTATCTCACCGGCAGACTCATTTTTCCTGCCTTGATGTTCTTCTGGGCCATCCTATGGACTGTCAAGTTGGGCCTGCTTCTTCTTTACAGGAAACTAACTGTCGGGCTGCCGAGGGTGTACAATCGGATGTGGTGGCTCCTTGTCGTTTTCTGGGTCATTGTGAGTTTCCCCCTACATCTTGACAAGAAAACCACTGTATGCTGACATGACAAACAGTCACTCATTGGAAACTATGTCGCTTTTCTCACATCTTGCGTATCACTGCACAGCTTCTTCGATGGATCTGGAGGTTGCAACAACAGAGTTAGGCAGTTCGTCAGCATTTGGTACTCTTTCGGTGCGGATACGATCACCAATATCATGCGTAAGCACTCTCGGCATCAAACCGCACGCTTCGAAATCGCTGCTGACGATCCCTAGTCATCGCATTTCCTTTGCGTCTTACGTGGAACCTTCAGATGCCGCGCACGCAGAAAAATGCTATCATCGTCTTATTTGCCAGCGCAGTATTTTGCATCTTGATCGCCACTCTACGCGCTGCCAATGTCACTGCGCATACTATCAGGACTGGCAAGACGATGGACGGTACATGGCTTGCAGTATGGAGTATGGCTGAGACAGCTGTCGGTAAGTCGCCTATGTGTCTTTTAGCTTGATCTGCTCCGTTGATCCAGTCGCTCAATACTGACACGAGTTAGCCATTTTGATCGGGCTTTGCCCCTCTTTCGCCGTCCTTCTCAACTCGAATAGCAGAACAACTCAGAAAGTCCATGGATGGAGCTACAACCTGCGTACCGTCGGCAGTGATTCAACACGCCATAAGCACAAGACGCCTAATGGATTGGATACTTTTTGGACGAACATACACGGTAGCTAGGAAGAGCTAGCAGGAAAACAAGATGGTGCATCTGTCACTACGACAGCCGACCAAGATGAAGAAGGCCCGGGCATGGCTAGATGAGTGCGGACAAATCATGGGAATAATGGAAGTTCGAGCTAGCAGCAGCTAGCACACCTGAACAGGCGCGGGGTATCACGTGGACGTAGCATGGCCCATGGAGTATACAACGTGTCGAACTCGCGTGAAGGTACATGTAACGACTATGCATGACCTCTATGTCATGTTTCATACTCTACTGCCGCACTACAAATCGTTGCGACTCAGCCCTCCGTCTTCTTCACGACGTTAAAGACAGAAGCCAGTCTGGCGCTAGCGAGCCACATTCACTTCGTTTCTGGGGTCCACACTTAGCTTGTTTGGTATATCACGGGTTCTAGCGCACTCCGCGAACTGCAAGTGACGCCGACTTCTCTACAATAGCCAACTTCTCTTGATTCGCGTTTGCGATACAACCTAACGTGCTCTGGTTTCAACCACCCCTTCCATAACCTCTCCAAGCACCTCTCTAAGAACTTGCGGCTGTTCTTCCAGCGCACCTACATCTTCAGGCTAACACATCCCAGGGCTTTACCTCACATAACCGAGAGACTTTCGGTCAGCCGAAAAGATGAGCGCCAATCAGGACTACATGACGCCAAACGACCATCTCCAGCAGTCCCTCCAGAACACCTCCGCATTTGAAGTCCTGGGCCACTTCTGCGGTATACCCGCTGTGGGCTCTCCCCAACGACTCAACGAGGCCGCCGTCGTCTGTATCGACGCAGAGTGGTGGCAGAAAGAGCCCAAACCCACCACCGAGCTCGGAATCGCTGAGCTCATGCAGAAGGGACTGACCCCAACTATCCACGCCGAGAATATCCTGTCTAGCATCCAAGTCGCGCACGCCCGTATCATCCAGAACGCGCACCTCATCAATAGATTCCCCGGTGCCGGAGACCCCGAGAACTTCCTCTTTGGCAAGACCAAGTTCGTCACTATGGACGAGGTGAAACAAGTACTCATCAATACGTTTGTGCGACCGCGCGAGTATGGAGACGGGTCTGACCTGCAGCCCATTATCTTGGTCGGTCACGCGGTAGAGAACGAATTCGAACACATGCAGCGCGCGTTCGGCGTCGACCTGCTGAGCTACGGTACTATCGTCAAGGTCATCGACACGCAGCTCATGGCGCAAGAACTGGGTATCAAGGCACCACGAGGACCTTTCATCGGACTCAAAGATCTCCTCGCGCACTTCAACATGGTCGTACCCAACCTCCACACCGCCGGCAATGACGCAGCAGCTACGCTCATGGCCGCTGTCTTACTTACCCTCAAGCCGTGGATGTATCCAGACGTCCCCGGCTCGCCACCCGCCGTCGTCCAGGGTCGCAGTATGTCAGAAGTGGTGGCTGGAGTCATGGAGATGGGACAGTCGCTGTCGCCGCCGCCCTGGGGAGAGCTGGTGTACTGTATTCGATGCGATCACAAGAGTCACCTCGCCAAATCCTGCTACACTGCTCTGACTTGTCAGAACTGCAGCAACTCGGGCGTCAAGAGGCTGTTTGGTGCGCGGAACACACATAAGACCACCAGGTGTATGTATCAGTACTTACCGATACCGCCAAGGGACTATGGATTTGGAGGGCAGTAGATTGAAGAGGTGTACGGGGACAGAGACGAGAGATGAGATCAAGGAAACGTTTGAAAGGACTACCGGTAGAACACCCAGGTAGCTACGCAGCTATGAATGAAACCATCACACTGGCGTACAAGTCAGACCCCACCCTGGAGCCTACATTGACCGTGGGCTACCCACTTTGCATGTGTTCATCTTGGTTTAGGCTCTAGACATGTTCAGTCCCTTCTTTGGTTGACGTGACCGCAGCCTTGTCCAACCTCTGCCTTCATCACCGCTACATGAATCAACGACTAATAGTGACACTGACGATATCCACATAGCTGCCCTCATACCTCCCGCTCCATCTGCTCAACGAGGCCCAAACGCACACGACCCCTCCATATGCGTCCCAGCATTCTTCCTCCTCCACCCCTGCACTGCACATTCACACCTCCTACACTTCAGATCCGCATTGTGACACTCCATAAACCCATGCTCGTAACTTCCGCACCTCCAGCAAAACACTTCTACACCAACAGGCGGCGCCGGCGTGGGCCAATTCATCAAGCTCTGCACCACGAACATCGCAGACTTGGAACTTGACTGGCCCACCCGCCCTGGCTTTGCCTTCGCATTCTGTAGAGACCCATAGAGCTCGAAACGGAGGGTTGAGAGGATAGCGACGATGGTGGCGTACATGGCTGCGTTGCCGCTGTTGTCGGAGTGATATACAGGGATGCTGAACTGCCTGAGGAGGTATGCGAAGTCGGCGTCGGCGTGACGAGTGATCTTCGATTGCTGGGGTATGATTTGCGCATCGAGACTCGCTACCGTGGTATCCAGAAGGGTTGGGTCGAAGTCGAACGCCGTCTTGCGTACCCTGCTGATGCTGCTGTTGGAGCCGAAGGACATGTATATGATGGGTCGGTAGCCAGAGTCCTCGTTCTGCTCGTCCATAGGCTGGTGCCAGATGTGCTCGAGCAGGACAAGAGCTTCTTGTTGGGACACATAGACCGTGGTGCCGAAATGGAAAGGATCGAGACCGGTGGCTGTAGCGTCGAGGTGCGCGGTGGAGCGGATGACGAGGTGGAGACACCATACTTTGCGTAGCAAGTCTTCTGCGTGCGGGCCGGCCATTATAGGCTGTCCTTGATTGATGCTAGATCGGTCGTAGGTGGTGATTCCAAGCTCGGTGAGGCGATACGGTGGGTGAGCTGACCATTTGCGGTGGAGGACGACGAGGACAGCGTCACGAAGTAGGTTTGGAGCAGTTGTCGACCTTCTGAGGTATTTGTGCAGGACATCTTTGTCTGGTAGCGCAGCCAAGGCGTTGCGAAGGGTTGCTAGCTTTGCTGACGTGGATTTTGACATGACTTTCAAGCTGCGCGATGTCCATGGGTAGCAGAAAATAAGCGGCAGGAAATCTGTGTAGGTGAAGCGTTCGTCCGTTTGATGCGGCACTTTAAGAGACTAGTGCCATTGGAGATGAAGCTGACAGTGAGAGTGAAAGTGAAGATGAGAATGAGGTTGAATTAGATTCTGGTTTTCGCATTCTGCTGCTGCTGAGCGCAGCACATCTTTCTCGTTGCAGTCATGGCCTTGTGTAACCATCACGACCGTAATCCAGTCAAGCCTGAGTCTTTTAGACTTTTTTTTGATGCCGAAGGAAAGTGCATTGAGTTTGCATCTCGTTGCTAAATGATTGTGTACGCCATCATAGCTTGTGGCTTTACTTGTCAAGGTGTTCTTGGCTTCATCGTCTGCACGTTTTGGTGACTCAAAGGGAGCTTTGATATCAGATCGCGGTTATCGGCTGACGAAAATTCATCGATCTGAATAAGATTTCACCGCTATGATGGGTGTGCCCGAAGACGCGACCTTGGTGCTCTCCATCGCGGAGGTATGAGGAGAGAGGATTTCCCGAGGTCGGCTGGATGGTAGCGCAGCCGCTAATCCATGAATGGCCTAGCTCTAATTACCCTTACTAATCCCAGCGCATCCCCGCCATAGCTCCAACCCTCAAAGTCTGATCTCTCCAGCCTCATAATTGTCCATTGTCGAGATAGGCCGCCCACTCAAATTTCATTATGTCGTCAGCGCCACCCAGAACCATAATTGATCTTCCGATCGAACTCATCGAGATGATCGGAATGAATCTCCTTGAATATGCTCCATACAACGATTCCGTCGCACCAGTCATACCGCGATTACTGGTGGTGAGTTGCCAGGCAGTGTACAACACCCGTCTAGCATGTCGAGGTCTCAGTAACGCTTTGAAAAAAGCGTTCCTAGAGGTCCTACATGATGTACCCTTCCAATGCACTGAGGAGCATCTGGGCCGTTTGACGCGATTGTTGCAGCTTCCCTGGGTGTCGCAGTCGTTCAAACAGCTCACTATCGGCGGTGCCAAGATAGCCAAAACACCCATACAACGATCCCGGGTGGTCTGGATACAGGACCATCTGGCGGACGCTTTCAAGACAATTCTCAGCATTGCGCCTCGTTTGGAAAGCATTAGATGTGTCCCAATCTTTGAGTCTTTTAAGCCAAACGATCCCCGTGACTCTTATGACAAAGACGTCGCCAATGAAACTATTCCAGAACGAAGGCAGGGTCCCTTCCGCTCTATAGACATCTTTGGAGTACGTCAAATCACCCATCGTTTCCACAGATAGTCTCAAAATAGAGGCTAACACGTGAACGTAGAAACTTTACACATCGATACACGAAAGCGGACACGCGGAAGCTCTTAGGTCGCTTTTGTTAGGATTCGACTACAGGGGAACACACAGAGTCTCAGCGCCGTATGAGATATCGTACCGCGGTCGAATAAAACTCTCCCCGTTCCTTGCGAAGCCACTACCCCATCTCCAACACCTCGTCCTCGACTTGGGATGTCTACGATACGGCGCTGGCATTTCCAGTTCGACCCGTATGCCAGTCCTGGAGTCGTTGACGATCGTATACACAACGTTCCACAATAACAGCGAACGGAATGTCGGGCCGTGGCCGGAGGGAAACCTGGACCTTCTGGCAAAGACTCAACCTCGACGGCTCGTGCTCACCAGCTATAGGTACATCACTCGAGAGGTACACGAGCCTCGAGAGAAGATTCTTGCTATTGTCCGTGCATTCAGCCACAGGCAAGGGCCACTACCGTGCTTGGAATTGCGCGACATGGATGTCGAATTGGATTACCATCGGGACGAACGGCCGATGCCAGCAGATACTTGGAAGTTCCCGGGGGACTTTCGCATCGCAGAGTTGAAGATTGCAAACGTGACGTGGTACCGACATGTGATCCATCGTGGCAGGTCAGAGCGCCGTGGCTGGTGCGAGACGGGTTGGGAACTGTTTCCTCAAATTTGTGACGTGTCAGAAGTCGTACGTGTACGCGTGTGTGACGGGTCGGAGCCCATTGAAGAATGCTTTCTCGAAAGACCATATGAAGATTTGCATATTGATGGCAATAGCACGGATCATGATACCGAGACAGATCGCAGCACCACCGAAGACGGATTCGATGATTCAGACCGGTCCACAGACGAAGACGAAGATGACGACGAAGACGATGACCAAGATGAAGACGAAGATGACGACCACGACAATGACGCAATGGACGAGGCATAGGCTATGATGGTTATGCATAGCCACTGCTTTCGATTCGATACAAGGGGTCCATGTGCATAGTGTTGGCGCAGCTTCACGTTCGGTGACAGCTTCAACCTCCGCCAGGCTTCTTCAGCGCTCCACCAAGAATACTCGGGTCAAGCATCTTGGCTTCAGCGACGTCGACACCACAACGCACCCACATGCTGCTCCAAAGCGCACCGACTGCTCTTTCTTCGGGCATGAAAACGACTGTATTCACGTACGATCGTGTCGTGTTATAGCAGTCTGGCATGTTGAATAGTTGCGCCTCGCAGTTGTCGCCTTTGTTCGAATAGAACACGCCGCATCGCGCTTCGCTTGGGAGAGTGATGCATGTGCCGTTCTTCCATGTTTCGAGGGGCGGTGGGAAATACGTCTTCTGCAAGAGCTCGCCGCGGCAGTGTTTAGGGCCGCCCGCGCCGGAGTATGTAAGGGCGAGGATCGGTATCTGTGGAGTGGTCGGCGGCCGATGCTTAGGCGCGACGGACGGTTTTGGCGTAGCAATAGGCCCCAAGACACCTTCAGCACTCCAACTCGCGCTCGTTTGTGGTTCCGGTGTGAAGCCAATCATCCCGTCCTGGGTTTCGGTCATCGTGGTGGGTACGAGGGTCGCGCCGGACACGATGCTGCTGCCGTTGTACACATCGCCGCGGTCGAAGTCCGTGCCGTTCAACAGCGCTTTCGCCGCGACGATATCATCGCCATCTCCGACTCTTGCAGCTTGCGCGAGGTTGATCTGTATGACTGGTGTGGTAGGTGCGCGTACTTCGATGGCGGTCGCTAGCGAGATTGCGATGAAGAGGAGGAGGGAGACGGACGATGCGATGAGGATGATGCGCCGCGGTATGGACGACATCGCGGTGGTATTACATTACTTTTGGAGATTTGGGAGGTTGAAGAGGTATGCGACAATGTCGAAGTTCGTGGGCGACGCCAAGGAAGCGTCGGGGGTTGCTACACTACGCGTTTCATCCCCACGTCCTCCCCAGACATCGTCGCAGGCTTGCAGGCAACTTCACCATACTTCCCTGACAGCTGTATACAGATTCTTTACTACATTCGGATGTATGATGTTGCGCGAGTGTGCAATCTCGATAGAACAGCGGCTTAGACCGATATCTGTAGGTTCAGTTACAAATATATCCCCTGACCCTTATACAGCTCCGTACCAGCTTTCATGGGCTATCATTGCCATGTAGCGAAAGCTGCACTTACGATTTGGCCTTGGCGCTCCAATGAAAACGGCAACGGCCGTATTCTATTCTACAACAGAGCAAGAGATTCACTGGAGTGACAGCCATTGGTCTAAGCTCATGACGATTCTTCTGGTTTTGACATGTATACACAGACGACTGGGTACTAATCTCCTGATCACTCGCTGCTGCCTATGCACTGGTCTGTCCGCTGAGCGATTTATGTCTCGGTTATCTCCTGTCGACTATACTCAGCCACCCTCAACCCAGAGACTCGTCTACCCTGGTAAAATACCCGTTACCGACGATCAACCTACGCCAAACTCATCTACCTCTCGATAGAAGTAGGTGTGGATAACACCCCACCCTCGACTCCAGACATGGCTGCCGAACTATTGGACGCAAACCGACGAGCGCTAGCGTTAGCCCTTAAGAAAACTGACGCCAACAATTCGAACACATCTACCGCTCGAATTGAGATGATGAAGGCCGAGTCTAGATATCATTCGCTGAAGCGTCGCCAAAAGGCACTGCATCGTGAAGAGGCTACTGCTGCTCGAGGATACGGCCAATCTTGGTGCCAAAGCTTCTCTCAAAGCCTCCTTGATAAGCTCCCTCGCGAGTTGCGAGATATGATCTACGATCACCTTCTCCCTCATTCAGCAGAAGTATCACTCCTGGGACAGGATTGGCGCGTTTCCTTCTGCCCTAGTCAGACGTTCGGCTCGTGGAACGACAGCGAACTCGATCCCATCCCTCATTATCTAACGAGTGAGTTTATGGGCACTTCCTTCCAGAAAGAGATTATGGAGGAACTCCACAGACACGCACAATTCCGTATCTACCACCCAAACGATGTGGAAGAGTTTCTGGAATATGGCCTGCCGCTAGCATCACTTCCGCTGCGGGCTTTCGACTTCGTTCGCTCACTCACTGTGCTGCTATCCTTCCAAGCCCATCAGGACGTCGACAAACCCAGGTGGCGCAGAACGGGACAGTACGATCTTAGGCACAACTCTGGAGGAGATCGTCAGAACTTGGAATCTGTCGCTACCAATCATACCTTCGAGAAAAAGGTCAAAGTACTTGCTATCATCGCCAAAATCAAGCAATTCAACAAGCTCGAACTGCATATCTTGATTCGCACCTGGACGCTTACAGGAGCGAGAGGCTTTGAGCGAGCTCTAGTTCCTTTTGTGCACGATCTGCAAGACCGCGGAGTGAAGGTTGACGTGGAAGTTCAGCCATATCGACGTGATTCCCGTCGTAACACTGAGATGTACTCTGGCTGGATGTGGGACTTTACCCGTCCGGAGTCGCGCTAGAAAAGCCACCGACTCAAGACTGGTACTTTCGTAAGTAATTAGCCTCAAGGATTCATTTCACACGCTTACCTTTCACGTCTAGAACCTGTCTTGCATACATTGCGACTATCGAAATTGTCGAAGCTCATTTCGTGTCGCTCTGACTCAACACAACAACGTAAACTCCACGCAGTCAGTTATCGAGAGATGACTTCAGGATTATGCTCATGGTGTGCTCTCGCCCGCCGTCTCATGACAGCATCTGGTAGGAAAGCTCTTGATGTATGAGGCAGTACGAGGAAGGTCTTAACACACGAGGCTAGAGATAAACACGCTGCTTCTCTATAACTTGGGCGCATTGGATTTGTAAAATAAAGAACATCCACATTACTATAACAGCCGTTTGAACACGTGATATGGTTGCTGATTGCATTGCTTCCTTCGACGTACAGCTGCGAATACAATGTGAACCCGAACGTAAATTTGAAGTGGTACTACATTTCAGACAATGATAGGCAACGCACGAGCCCTGTACCATGTGAGATACGATGATGCTACCGCCCTCTGATCTCGCTGATTTCCGATAAGTCGCGCCGCACTACTGGCCCACCAAGTACGTATGCCTACAGTGCCCACATCTCGCTTCTCAGTTGTCGTTATTCTGGAATTTTAGTAGATACTTCTTGAAGCTAGTCCCGAAGATGACTTACAAACGCATCAGTAACCAAGCTCTTCATTTGACGCGTGGAGAGAAGCATGGTACTGTCATAAATGATTTTTTCCCGCTCAGTTGGGTATTGGTACATGTTCGCGCTGATGTACCGTACGGTCACCTTGCAACCCTTTTCCACAAGCTCTTGGATGTGCGGAAGCAGCACTGCTTTGTATTTGCTAATCGTCGACGAGTCTAGGACTTTCACCTTGAGCTTGAGTGTAAATTTTGACACCTGATCAAGCTCCTTGAGAGTAGTGAGCCAGCTCAGCTGACTCTCGTAGTTTTCCTTTTTCCAGTTGTCTTCTTCCTTGCTGTACCAGATCCCTTCGTTGGAACAGGCGATGTCCATAGACACAATTACTTTGAGCGTTCGGATGTAATGTTCGGGTTGACAGGATGGATGAACCATCAGAGGACCATCTCTCAAAAATTGGGCCACGTCCTTGACATGTCCCACCTTATAGATGGCATGACGGTGGAAGAGCTGGGCAATTTCCACGGCGAACTCCTCACCCACGAACTTATCTCGAAAGTAGTGTGCGATTTCATCGTCGTTACCACGGCGTTGACTCCGTCCGCGACGGTCGATGGGTTGAAGGTGAAAGAAGTGATCGTTCATTGTGTTTGCCGGCAGAGGGACCTCAATCGGATAGATGGTGGCACTCGGAGAGTCGCCAATAAGGTAGAGGTAGACTTCATCTCGCAGCTCCCGAGCAGTGACTAACTCCAAGAAGCGTGCAGCAAATTGACGATTCCATGCGCGCGAGCAGTCATCGGTTATCTTCTTATACTTACTAAGAAGAAGTTTTATGTCAGCCATCGATCCATGACGCTGGGCGGCCCTGCACTTACGTTTCTAAACCCTGCTTCTCATGTTCAAGCGCACTTTGCGTAGTTCGAAGTGCATCTAGCTGCTTTTGCCGCTCTTCGATCTCTCTGGCAGTGGTATCACTTCTCCAAATGTATAGTCAGCTTCTTACTACAAAGACCAAAGAAAGTTGCTTACATCTTCTGGGCTTTCTGCAATTTCTGTGCAAGGCTGCGAGACTGTCAGATCCTTTAATACTGTTTGTGGGTATCTCTCATGCCAACTCACAGCGAAATTACCTGAGACTTGGTGGTGAGTCGATCCTTCGGGGCCATTTCGTGAATGCTCCGTTGTTCAGGTAGTGTAGTGGCAAAAGTTGAAACGACAGAGATATTCCAGACGATTGTGTTAATCTATATAGATTTATCGCGATGTACAGTTGACGTGTGCTCAGTGTGTAACGTGACAGAGCCGCAAGCTAAGTAGGTGCATGCGTACTATGGTTTAGGCAAACACTGGGCTTGACTTAAATGCGGGCGGCGTGAATAATGAGTCCAGTCTAGTCATGACCCTCTTCGCAGAATGTACTAGCTTGGGGAGAACGAGACGACTCAGCGAGCATTGAATTACATCAACAAACTAAACATAAACATTCGTTCAAGCATCCCCACCCTCAGCCTTCTCCTTCGCCTTATCCAAATCCAACGGCACCCTAACAACAATCTTACCCCTCGCCCTCCCCGTCTTCAACTTCTCAAACGCCTTAGGCGCATCCTCCCACTCAAACACCTCATCAACCACAGCCTTGACCTTCCCCTCCTTCATCCACCCTCCAATCTGGGTCAACGCATCCGACGACGGCTTCGCCATCAACAACTGATAGCTGTTCTTGCCGCCGCCCAAAAACCCGGGCAGCAGCATATTTGACCCAACGTTCTTGATGCTAGCAACGCTCATCCCCGCGCCGATCTGGACAAACTTGCCGGCTGGAGTGAGGAAAGCGGATGCGGCTTTGTAGAGGTTGGGTGGTGTACCGATGTTGTCGACGACGAGGGTGTAGGTCTGGTCTTTGGAGGAGAGTGTTTCGATGACATCGCTGGTTTTGTAGTCGATGACTTCATCGGCGCCTAGGCTCTTGCAGAGGTCGACGTTGGGTGTTGAGCAGGTGGTCGTCACGTGGCAACCCAGCGCTTTCGCGATTTGGATGCCGTACACACCCGTTCCGCCTGAGCCGCCGTTGATGAAGACTTTGTCGCCGCTTTTGACGTTTGGGGCGATGGCTTGGTATCTGAAGATGGGGTTAGCATGGCTTTCAGCTTCCTAGTAACCTGCGCGGCCTTACTCGGTCAGCCCCACGATGCCGACGCCTGCTGCGTCTTCGACCTTCACGCCTTCTGGTAACCTCGCCAGCATTTGTCTATCCACGGCTACGTATTGCGCCATGCTTCCTCCTGTCAGCGCACCAACTTTTGCGCCAAAGACGAATTCGCCAATCTGGTACTCGTCGACTTTCTTGCCTACTTTGGCGACCTTGCCGCAGAAGTCGGCACCGGGGGTGATGTCGGAGCCTACAAGTCGCAGAGGCATTGGCCCTTCAGTGACTTTGTGGTCGACAGGATTGATCGCCATGGCGTGAACTTGGACCAGAATCTGCTCATCATGAAGCACTGGTTGTAGCGCGGCCTCGTTGATCTGGAGGTTCTTCTCGATGCCGCCTTTGGTGCTGTTGTACTGCCAGGCCCTCATCGTGGACGCCATGTTGCTGTTTGATCTGAACGGAGCTTGTTGCGATAGATTTCCGATAGAATTGATGCCGCCGATGCGCGCTGTCCTTGTTATCTTATAGCGTGGAGACAGGCATGCGTCATGACGATTTGCGTTGAGCGGGGCAAGCGCCACCACCGCCTGTGAGCACGAGCTTTGTGAGTAGACACCCATCTATCGGAGCTCCTTTCAGGCGACCGAAGAGATCGCGCGGATGGAGCCTGGGTAGGACACCTACATCGTGGAATCCATTGAGGTGGGTATGCCTCCTTGCCCAATGGGTTGGCATACTTGCGCTCGGTCGATCAAGGGGCATGCCCACATTGTCACCTAGCCCGATCGGGCGCATTGTGCGCAGCGACAGCAATCTCATCATGAGTTCCGGAAAGAGATCAAAATTAAGATATGGGATACGAGCGAAGTCATTGTTTGTGTCACGATGGACTTTTCAATTGATCGGTCCTGCACGTCGACGAGGAGCTGGAGGCCTAGCAGCCACAGCTCAGGCCGCCCTTTCGCCCTGCATGAAGCCTCTTACGCGTATGTGACAAACATCTGCTCAAAGCCAGTGACGTTCCAGACCCCAGTAACGGTGTTGAGCGTCAGGTTATTTGGGGTTGTGGGACCACGTTGGAGCGCCCCACTCTCGACATGACCGCCTGAAGCAACTACAGTTCCGTTCGTCCTTTCCAAATGGTTGGCACCAGCCTTGACGGTGAAATTCGCAAGGCTGATGTCGAAGGGGTTGCGAGATGCGACGGATGGAGAGCCTAGACGTCGTCAGCATGTGAGTCATGGTAAAGGTCATCATGTCTCGACTTACCGTAGTACTGCGCATTGAGCTCCTCGGGCGAGATGAACAGCTCGTAGTATCCTCTGTAGTAGCCTTCAGTCCACTGAAGCTCTCTGTTATCGCGCACAAGAGCTGCGGAGCGGTCGCTCGAGTTTGCGATAGATCTACCAGCGCCATAACCGCTGGAAGAGACGGCCGTGCCAGCAAACTCGACGCCAATGGCACCAGCACCAGTAGCTTGATCATATGGAGTCTCATCAAGCCAAACCAGATCAGACACCCAGTTGGCATGAGAGTCGCCAGCCAAGAAGGCAGTGTTCGGGATCTCGTTACTGTACAGATGATGAAGAGTGCGGTTGCGGTTGGCGGTGTATCCGTCCCACTGATCGGCGTTCAGCTCGTTGCTGTACACTGCGCTGTTGTTCATTCGGGAGAAGATGATCTGGTTGCCAATGATCCTCCAGGTAGCACCGCGTTCATGCGACTCGGAAAGCTGATTGTAGAACCAATGTTCCTGGCGGCTACCCATGAGCGAGCGGCCAGCGTCATCCTTGAGATCCTCGATGTAGTCGTCGTTCCAGTTGAGTGTCGTAATGGATCGGTCGTAGTTGCGGGTGTCGAGCATGATCAGGTCGAAGAGTTTGCCCATCTTGAAGTTGCGCCAGATGCGGAGGTTGTCATCCATGTCGACCTGGCGAATACTGCCGTCGTCGTTAGCGACATCAGGAACGGCCAAAGCGAAATACTTACGGCATCCACTCGAAGTAGGCGCGGACAGCGTTCATCTTCCTGGAGTCAACGCTCACTCCTCCGAACTTCTTGAAGCTTTGTTCAGTGTTGTTCATGCCGCTAAAGCCATCCCGATAACCGTTGTTTGCAACCTCTGTCCATCCGTTAGTTGAGTAGAGGGGTGCCATGCCACACAACATACCATGGTCATCCCATGTCGGAATCCAAGCAAAGTTCTGGTGAGCAAGGCGAAGGTCGTCATCAGTGCGATACTGGCCAATCCTCGTTCGGTAGTCTTTGAGACGAATTAGTAGCTGTCAGATCCAATGATCAGTTGCCTACGAACCGTAAAGCGTGACGATCTCCCGCGACGGGTTCGTGGCGCGCGGGTCTTGGCCGAGCTTGCCCTTGGTCGACTCATAGATGTAATCACCAAGATGAACCTTCATCTCCTGATTAGCAGAGTCAAAAATGCGCGTAGTCATCATACTTACGAAGAAGTCAACTTGATCTTTCCTGGCAGCATTGCCGTACGCGTTGAAGTAGCCGTTCTGCCAGTTGGAACAGGAGAAGATTGCAAGACCAATTTTGGAAACATCATCGTTTTCGTCAGGGCTGGTCTTAGTTCTGCCGAGTGGGCTCTTGTTGGAGCTACCACAAACGTTGAACTGGTAGTAGTACTGGGTGAATGGGGACAGGTTCTTTGCTTCGATCTTCTCAGGGTCAGCTTATCACCCGACATACCCCTGGCTTAGATCTTACCTTGACGGTGAAGTCGATGTCGGAAGTGGTGTATGCTTGGCCTTGATCGACGATGCTGGAGAAGTTGCCGTCGGTACCAACGCGGTAGTCCACGCAAATAGGGTTTGGTGAGGCCTTGATGTACTTCTCCGTCTCGTGGTTGTAGAAGGCTACATTACCCGTAACAGTCACGTTCGATCTGTCGTTCTCGAGAGATGGCGCAATGCGTGTCCAGAGAATGACCGAGTCGGGGTAAGGATCTCCAGAAGCGACGCCATGCGTGAAGCTTAGCTGAGCCGGATCCCACGGAGTCGCCCGCTTGATGAGGCTTCTCTTCGCGACCTTCGGCACATCAATGCCAAGGCCTTCGTGTCGGCGAGAAGGCGAGTGGTAATTCAGGTTGCCATCGAAAGATGCACACACGAGCGAGGCTAGAGGCGCCGCTGCAAGAAGGATTGAAAGCATTGCGAGGATCGAAGAAGCTTCGGTGGCTCTCTTCTTAGTTTTCAAAGTCCGGAGACTTCAGAAAGCTTAAGTACTTCCATCGCACTTCAACGTGCCGTCCTTCGCGTACGATTTCATCGCCTTCGTACTACTCCGGCCACCAACATTACCGCATCGTGCATTCAGTACAGTTCTGACAGCAGCTGTGGCCAATCGCATAGAGTGCATTGTAAGTGTGTAAAAGAGTGCCTGTTGATCGTCAACCGCGACATATGCACGATGCGCATGTGCCGGGAGGATGAGCTGAGATTGGCCGAGCGCGACTTCATCCCGCTGGACAGGCTAGCCCGTTGTGGGGATATGCAGCGCGTCGAACGTCGTTGATCCTGGCATGACATACAGTGCGTGAGGAGTCAACGCGACGATGCGGAACTGTAAGGCGCAGTCTTTGGGGTGACAGGAGAAGAGGGGTGGAGGGTTACTTGGCTTTCCAGCTCCCAGTCGGCGGAAAAAGATGGCGCTAAGATTAGAAGGGTTTAGCGCCAACCGTGCCGCATGCTAGCCCTGGAGAACTCCATCGTCCATTCCTTCGACACCCACCCCGTCTAGCTTTCCGGAGAACTCCTGGAACTCTCTCTCCTTCCTGACCTACACTTGCTGTACGTACGAGTTGCAGTGCAGATCTTGCCTTTCTTTCGATGCCCAATTTTCCGCTTCTAAAGTGCTTGCTTGCTTCTCTATCTTGATTCAACCAATCATTGCATCGTTCACACCCCGCTGTACACGTTCCCGTGTTATCCACGTTGCATCGTCGGAACTGCCATTCGCGCAAGAGCTATCACGGCATCGCTGATGTCGTTGTAC